AATACATATTGATATATTTCTGTGAAAATCATTCCTTATTGTAGTGATTTGTGGTTTAGATTTCCAAATTTGAGAGTAACAGTTCAAGTCTCCTCTATGAAAATCATTCTCTCAAATAAATTAGTTGAGAGTTTAGTTCATTTAATATTTTAGTCATTTGTTTGTTTTTGGATCATTAGTGTTTTAGTCAATTTTCTTTTGTATTTAAATTGTTCTGATTCCATCTAATATATAAAAATACGGGGCAAAAAGAAAAAGAAAAAATAGTACAGGCGTGGAGGGCTTCTCAGATAAAACCCTTCGTCTGCTTACTGCAATTGGCGCTCTCTCTCTTAAAAGTCCAGAGAGAGAAACACATTCAGAGATGGATATGGGCATGAGCTTAAGTTTTTCTCTTTTCCTTGTGCTTATTGTATAATGAGCAAAGCTTTTATTTTCTTCTTCTCAGAAGAAGATGGCTCTGCAAGAAGAACCCCAAGAGCTACAGAACCCTCCAATGGCTTTTGACGCTTTGTTTTGTGAAGAAGGTCTTGAGGAAGATTTGGGAGACAATGGTATTGAGGAAGAGAGTGAGGGTTGTGTTGGGAATATGGAAAAGCAGTCAACTTTCCCTCTGGTTTTGCTAGAAAATGACTTTTTTTGGGAAGATGATGAACTTGCCTCTCTAATCTCCAAAGAGGAACAAACACATGTGTGTTTCAGTGGTTCAATCTCAGATGGGCCTTTAATGGCGGCTAGGAAAGAGGCAGTGGAGTGGATTTTGAGTGTTAAGGCACACTATGGGTTCTCTTCTTTGACCACTGTTTTAGCTGTGAACTACTTTGATAGGTTCATTGCCAGCCTACGGTTTCAGAGGGACAGGCCTTGGATGAGTCAGCTCGCTGCCGTCGCTTGTGTGTCTTTGGCTGCCAAAGTGGAAGAGATCCATGTGCCTCTTCTCTTAGATTTGCAAGTATGTGTAATGCCCATATGCAGTTTTGGTGTTCGTTAAATTGCTAGACTATTGTGTTTCTTGGTCCAGTTCTGTAATCAATCAATGTGGTTTTTTTTTTCTTCTTCCTATTGTGTTTAGGTGGAGTCGTCAAAGTATGTATTTGAAGCAAAGACCATTCAAAGAATGGAGCTTTTGGTGCTATCAACTCTTGGGTGGAGGATGAATCCAGTAACTCCAAATTCATTCTTTGATCATATTATCAGGAGGTTTGGTTTGAAGATCCACTTGCGTTGGGAGTTTCTGTGGAGATGTGAGCGCCTCCTTCTATCTTTCATTGCTGGTGAGCA